TGGGACCTGTCCTGGAAAGCAGTGTGGCTAGGGACTCTGGGCTCAGGGAGGGAGAAGAGCTGTGTGCTGATGGCTGGGGAGCGGGCATGTGGGGTATACTCTTTGGTTGTTTGATAATGCATGCAGGGGATTATAATCATTGCAATGAAATGAAATACGATAGGATGAATGTAAAGATAACGTTCTCCCTTATAAACTAACACATAATTCACAATAAAAATTTTAAAAAACAAAACAAAACTTGTTATTAAGTGCCATCAAGTCAGTTCCGATTCATAGCATTGTGTATTGGGTTTCTGAGGAGCGGGTGATGAGCTTGAAGCACTGTTCTTGAAGTCCAAACTGACCTTAAGGCCCAGCGCATTAACCAGGACAAGAAACTATCTAGCTGCAATCATCCAGATTAAGGGAAACTGTCAAATATCCCTTACTAGGAATGGCCCCCCAAAGAATATCCATTACTAGGCAGTGGTATATTTCCTGCTTTGGAAGAAAAGAACATTAAGCACTTAAGCCAAAGAAAACCCTCTGTGTTTTCATTCTTAGATTGGAGGGTGGCAGAATGAGTTAAAGCAGAGCCAGACTGAAAGCTAACCTGGACCCTGGGGTGCCCCAGTTTGCTCCTGCCTAGACGAGATGGGGCTGGGTACAACAGATAGTCCTGGAATTGAAGCTCTAGCATTTGCCAACATGCAAATTACAAGTCTGCTGGTATGCTCCTCAGGAAGTCCTCAAAATTATTTTATTAGATCAGAAAAAGCCAACCATTAAGAATGTCCAGGAGAATATCCCAGACCATTTAGTAAAAATGTTATTGATTATATGGGGATTTTTAAAGTTGAGATTCTCTATAGCAACTTAAGTTCTCTATCTTGCAGAAGATCAATATGCTAATGCACACACAAATGACTCCTTCTAGCTGCTTAATTCAAGGTAAAGAAGAAGCTCATTTTGCAAGTGCTAGAGTATCAACACTCACGGCAGCAGCAGTCAAGAAATCAAACAGTGCATTAGGAAAATCTGCTGCACACGACCTTTTTAAAGTGTTGAAGAGCAAAGATGTCAGCTTGAGGACTAAGGTGTGCCTGACCCAAGCCATGGTATTTTCAATAACCTCATATGGATGCAAAAGCTGGACAGTGAATAAAGAAGCCCGTAGAAGAATTGATGCTTTTGAGTTATGGTGTTGGAGGAGAATATTGAAACTGCCATGGGCTGCCAAAAGAACTAACAGATCTGTGTTGGAAGAAGTGCAGCCAGAGTGCTCCTTGGAGGCCAGGATGGCCAAACTTTATCTCTCATACTTTGGACATATTGTCAAGATGGGCCAGTCGCTAAAGAAGGATATCATGTTTGGTAAATTGGAGGGTCAGAGAAAAAGAGGAAGATCCCCAATGAGATGGATTGGCAAAGTGGCAGCATCAATGGGCTCCAGCAATGCAACAATTGTGAGGTTGGCCCAGGACCAGGCAGTGTTTTGTTCTGTTGTGCATAAGGTTGCTATGAGTCGGTACCGACTCGATGGCACCCAACAACAACAACAGAGAAGACATGAGAGCACAGTGGCCCATAACCCCAAGGTTGATAATTCGAACCCACCAGCTGCTCCATGGTGAAAGATGATAATTTCTGCTCCTGCAAAGATTTACAGCTTTGAAACCCTGCAACAGGGCTGCTTTGATTCAGAACCAACTCCACAGCACTTAAAAATAATAACATGAGAAGACATGAAACAAAGCCTTGCTATTCTGAATCTACTCTTCTCTGATTCATTACTAATTCTCAGCTCTTACCCTTTGGAATTGGCCTAAGAGAAAAGTGAGTTCTACATAGTATTCAAAGGATTTGTTGTTGTTGTTAAGTGCCGTCGAGTCGGTTCCGACCCATAGCGACCCTATATAGAGTTTCTAAGGAGCGACTGGTGAGATTGAACCACCGACCCTGTAGTTCAAACAGCTTTGCAGTCTGGTGCATTAACCCACTGCACCATACCAGGACTTCTTCAAAGGATTAGGTACTTCTGATTTCCACTTGTATCTTCAGTTTTTCTGTACAGAAAAAACTGAATCACTTAAGCAGTCAGCTGTGGATTACAATTGTCCAATTTATGGACAATTCCTAGTTGTCCTGTAATGCGGTCTGTGAACCAATTCTTGTTGGTAAAGGGAAACAAGAACAGAGCAGAATTTTTACAATTTGGGTGATTCATCATGGTAAGCAGACTTCTGGTGTAGTACTGTAAGATAAGCACTGGACTGCGAGCCATAAGGTCGGTGGTTCAAACCTACCAGTAGCTCCTTGGAAACCCTGTAAAAAGGGCTATGAGTCGGAATTGACTTGACGGCATTTAGCCAACAACTTCTTGGTAACCCAATAGGAAAAATTGCAGGTCAAAGCCCTGTGATGTAAGACTCAGAAGAAGTACAATGAGCCCTTTCAGAATCCTGATGCGTGAGGATTGATGATTGGCAGGACTGTGGAAAGCCACACACATTCGAAATGGCAGAGGCAGCCACCATCTTTGAAGCCCGACTTTAACATGTAAATATGCCTTCACTTTGTAATGATCCAATCAACCCTTACTAGCAACACGTTCTTTACGATCACTTTTACGTGCTGCAGGAGCAGCTTTTACATCATTGAAAAGGCTTTGAGTCTTGTCTGGCACTAAAGTAAGGCTCAATGAGAACCATATAGACCTGTTCCAACTGACCTACAAAACAAAACAGTCATCTTTTCAGGGAGGAGTCAAGGTATGTCTGCCAGCTCAAGTGCCTGTAAACAACCATAGAGTAAGCCTGGAAACAGATGTGTCTACTTCTCCAGCCATTTAGCCACAGATTTTTGACTTTCTGTGGATCTCAGAAAAAAAACTTCAAATATTCAAACAATAGCAAAGCTAAGAGAACAAATGGGGAATTGAAAAGTGAAAGGAGTTAGTTTAATAAACCAAATGATTCCTGAAAATAAGAAAGTATGATCCTAGTCACTAAAAGGAGTCCTAATAGCATAGTGGATTATACATTGGGATGCCAACCAAAAAGTCAGCAGTTCGAATCCATAACCGATCTACAGTAGAAAAATAACGTTTTCTGCTCCCATGAAGATTTAAAAGCCTCAGAATAGGATGGCTACTATGAGTCAGAACCGACTTGACGTCACTTAACAACAAAAAACCCTATGTAGGATCACCATGAGTCGGAACTGATACGATGGCAGGCAGCAGCAGCAATTAGATATCGAGGCTCAAAGGAGTCAACTTTTCTCATTTCTTTCTGAAAACCTAAATCCTGAAGGAACAAGTAGAAGCTTACTTATATTCTCAACAGTGTCTAAAGTCAACTGTTCTTTTTTTAAGAATTGATGCCTTTGAACTATGGTATTGTCAAAGAACATCAATGTACCCTGGAAGAAATACAACCAAAATGCTCCTTAGAAGTAAAGATGGCAAGACTTTCTCTCACGTATTTTGGACATGTTATCAGGAGGGACAATCCATGGAGAAAGACATCATGTGTGGTAAAGTGAGGGGTCAACGAAAAAGAGAAAGACTCTAAATAAGACACTGCAACTGTGAGGATGGCATCGGACCTGGCAGTGTTTTGTTCTGCTGTGCATAGGGTCACTATGAGTTGGAACTCATCTGATGGCATCTAACAATAACAACAGTATCATCTCTAGGGGCAATGGGCTTTGATAGGTTGAATACGGTCATACTCTGGCTTTCCACTAGCTTATTTCCATTTGCTAAATCACACTTACATAATACCTGCTAAGGTGGACTTGGAGGTCTGGAGTTCTGCCATGGAGTCATCTTGGTTCACTAAGGCTATAAAAGCCCCTGCTTCCCACTGGGGATTGAGAGCAGCAGGAGTTCTGAGACCTGAGTCCCATAGCTCACCTTGTAAATAATCCCTATAATAAACTCGTATACCATAATCCTGGAGCTGACCACCTCATTCTTAGGGCTCTCTGCCATATTTGGAAGCAAATTAAGAGTTATTGGTCCCTGTTCAAGGAACTCTGGTGGCACTTATGATAAGCACTGGGCTGCTAACCCCAAAACCAACAGTTCAAACCTATCAGCAGCTCCATGGGAGAAAGATAGGGTTTTCTGCTCCAATGAAGATTGATAGCTTCAGAAAACCTATGCAGGATCATTACTAGCCCAGACTGACTCCATAGCAGTAAGTGGGGTTGGTCCCCCATCCATACAACTGGTGAGTCAGCCAGGAGACCAAAGACATGGCTAATAGGAAATAGGCGAAATTTACCAGAAAAGTGGACACCATAGTGCCTATGCTGTGAGTTAGAACCGAGTTGATGGCACTTAACAGCAAACAAGAACCTGGGTATGAGAAAGATCGGCTGAATGCTTCCATACAGATTCACAGCCTTGGAAACCTTAGGGAGCAGTTCTCTGTGCAATAGAGTTGCTATGAGTTGAAATCGACTGTGTTAAGTGGGTTTGGTTTCATTTTCCAGGGGGATGTGGAGATTCAAGTCAGCCCTATCATTGCCCAGGGCTTGCCTCATGAGTAAGACCTTAATAAACTCCTATACAATAATGCTGGAGCTGCCGGACTCCTTCTTCAGACCCTCAGCCCCTTCCATATTTGAAGGCAAATTTAAAGTTCCTGCTCTGTGTCATGTCACATCTTAGATATTTTTTGGTTCTCTGGATTTTCATTGTGGGCTTATTTGGTTCCTACCAAAGGAGGGAACCTGTACAAATGTTTCCTTGGAGTTTCTCTCCCTTAACAAATTCTTTGCTCTTTGTTTGGTTTGGTGTGGATTACTCCATCAGAAAGCTTGACATTCTTCTTTTCTATAAAAATCACATTTGTCACATGATGCGTACAGTTGTTTCATGATTCCACTCAGGAAGGAAATGTCTAGAATTTACCAAAGGAAACTGATGCTCTTGCTGCTTGCTGTCTTCAATTTTTTTTAATGAACACACGGGGGGAACACAGGGATTCAATACAAATAGACAGTACCTGGCTTGTTGTAAATGTTGCTGAAAACTTGTGGGCAGGCGATTGTGACGGTCTCTCCTATGTTAGCAGGGCCCCAGCATGTAATGTTGTCCCAGACAACTCTGCAGCCTACAAGAAGAGAAAGGCAGAGAAAATGAAAAAGATGGCTAACTCACATGCATAAGAAAATACACATAAATCATTCCTTGGAGGGAAAAAGGCAACTTGAAAGTGTTATGACTAGAAAGCCTTTTAATTAGATCATTATCTTGCAAATTATTTTTCTGTGAAAAACATTTGCACCAACAATATTGAGAATACAATTAACTTGCTGTGTGCATTTTAATGAGTTCTGCAGAAATACTCTAGTATCTGTGGTAGGAAGTATCTGAGCAGTTCAATGTTCACTGTGTAATTTTTTAATTTTAAAAGAATTCTTTATCTTGTTCTTGCACCTCTGCATTCTCCCAGTACATTAAAATGGATACCCCTAGGCATGTAAAGGAGCTCTAGTAGCATAGTGGTTACGAATCGGGCTGCGAACCTTAAGGCCAGCAGTTAGAAACTACCAGCCGCTCCGTGGGAGAAAGATGAGGCGTTCTGCTCCCGTAAAGATTTACAGCCTCAGAAACCCTGTACAGGGTCGCTATGGGTCAGAACCAACTTGACGGCACTTAACAGCAACAACAGGCATGTAAGTTACGGTCCTCCTAGATGACAGTATGCTTGTGCATTTAGGAAACCTGACTTACATGATTTTCAAAGTAAAATATTTGACAAGATATAGTTGATAATGTTGTTATTAAGTGCCGCTGAGTCATTTCCAACTCATAGTTACCCTATATAGAGATTCCAAGGAGCCTCTGGTGAGTATGAACTGCCGACATCGCAATTCAAACTGACCTTGCAGTCCAGTGTTCATCCTAGAGTTCCAAACAAGCCTTTTTAGATTACTCACAAGATCTTGGGTTATTTTAATGGAATTTGCATATAGCTTATAATATGATATCTTAAAGACTTTCAAAACTCTAATTTAATGATCTATCACCAATCAGTCAGTTTGATCATCATCAGTAAATGTTTTAAGTCCTCTTCACTTTCATCAAGCATGGTTGTATCATCTGCATATTGCAGGTTGTTAATGAGTCTTCCTCCAATCCTGATGCCATGTTTTTCTTCATAGAACCCAGCTTCTCGGATGATTTGCTCAGCACACAGGCTGAATAAGTATGGTGAAAGAATACTTGTCACACACCTTTCTTAATTTTAAACCATTCAGTGTTCCCATGTTCTGTTTGAACAACTGCCTCTTGGTCCAGGTACAGATTCCTCATGAGCACAATTAAGTGTTCTGGAATACTCATACTTTGCAATGTTGTCCATAGCTTGTCATGATCCACACAATCGAAAGCCTTTGCATAGTCAATAAAGGACAGGTAAACATCTTTCTGATATTCTCTGCTTCCAGTCAAGATCCATTGGACAACAGCAATGATATTCCTCGTTCCACGGCCTCTTCTGAACTGGCTTGAACCTCTGGAAGTTCTCTGTCAATGTATGATTGTAGCCGTTTCTGTATTACCTTTAGTAAAACTTTACTCGCATGGGATATCAAAAACATTGTCCAATGATTTTCACATTCTGTTGGGTCACCTCTCTTTGGAATTGACACAAACATGGATCTCTTCCAATCAGTTGGCCAGATAGTTGTCTTCCAAATTTCTTGGCAGAGATGAGTGAGTGCCTCCTGTGCCACCTCACTTTCCTGAAAGATTTCAATTTTTATTCCATCTGTTCCTGGTGCCTTGTTCTTTGTCAATTCCTTCAATGCACCTTGGACTTCTTCCTTCAGTATCACTGGCTCTTGATCATATCCTACCTCTTGAAATGGTTGAACATTAACTATTTCCTTTTCGTGTAATGACTCTGTGTATTCCTTCCATCTTCTCTTGATGCTTTCTGCATCATTCAATAATTTGCCCAGAGAATCTTTCAATAATGAAAGTTGAGGTTTGAATTTTTTCTTCAGTTCCCCCAGTTTGAGAAATGCTGCGCATGTTCTTCCTTTTTGGTTTTCTGATTCCAGATCTTTACACATTTTGTTGCAATATTTGGCTTTATCTTCTCAAGCTGATCTTTGAAATTTTCTGTTCAGCTCCTGGACCTCCTCATTTCTTCCATTTGCTTTAGCAGCAAGTTTCAGCGTCTTTTCTAGTATCCATTTTGACCTTTTTCTTCTTTGTTGTCTTTTCAATGACTTTTTGCTTTCTTCATGTATGATGTTCTTGATGTCATGCCACAACTCTTCTGGTCTTTGGTCTTTAGTATTTAATGTATCAAATCTGTTCTTCAGATGATCACTAATATTCAAGGTCATATTTTGGCTCTCATGGACTTGTTTTCATTTTCTTCAACTTCAGTTTGAATTTGCTTATGAGTAATTGATGGTCTGTTCCACAGTCTGCCCCAGCCTTGTTTTGACTGATGACATGGAGCTTTTCCATTGTCTCTTCCCGCAAATGTAGTCAATTTGATTTCTATGTATTCCATCTGGTGAGGTCCATGTGTATAGTCATCTCTTATGCTTTCTAAAGAAGGTATTTGAAATGAACAAATCATTGGTTTTGCAGAATTCTATCATGCATTCTCCAGCATAATTTCGATCCCTAAGGCCATATTTTCCAGCTACTGATCCTCTTTGCTCCCAACCTTTGCATTCCAATCACCAGTAATGATCAATACATCTTGATTGCATGTTTGATCAATTTCAGATTGAAGAAGTTGGTAGAATTCTTCTATTTCATCCTCACTGGCTTTAGTGGTTGGTGCATAAATTTGAATAATAGTGGTATTAACTGGGCTTCCCTGTAGGCACATGGATACTATCCTATCACAGAAGGAGCAATCTGCTAGTTTATATAAAAATAAGTTCAATAAATGTTATTGCTCTAACCTGTTTTCCAGACCTATAGAATAATGTCACAGATAAATCAATGGAGCATAAACATTGTTGTTTGAATACAAGAGTGTCTTACTCTCAGATACATAGATATGCCTCTGGAAAGTTGGCTATAAGCCAAGCTTTGTAAATAAAAGTACTGTCTAATAGTTATTTCCCACCACCTGTCAGTTTGTCATACTATGGTGGCACGCATGTTGCTGAGATGCTAGAAGCTATGCCATCAGTATTCTAAATACCAGGAAGGTTACTCATGGTAGACAGGTCTCAACTGAGCTTCCAGACTAAGCTAGACTAGAAAGAAGATGAGGCAGACAAATTCTGAATGTTTATCCTCTGCAGACCTCATGAATAGCAGCACAATATTGTCAGATAGAGTAGCAGAAGACAAAAACATAAATGTTGTTGTTGTTAAGTACCATTGAGTCAGTTCTGACTCATGTTGTTGTTATTATTGTTAATGCTGTTGTTAAGTGCCAATGAGTCAGTTCTGACTCTTGTTGTGTTGTTATTGTTAATGGTGTCGAGTCTGACTCATACTGACCGTGTATAGGGTTTCTGAGGAGTGTCTGGTGGGTTTGAACTACTGAGCTTACAGCTCAAACCAACCTTTTGGTCCAGTGCTTATCCTAAAGTCCCATACAAGTATTCCATTGTTGTTCTGAATGCCACCGAGTCAGTTCCGACTCATAGGACATAGACACCACCACCGCCAATCAAAGAAAAGCACTTAAAAGTGAGGTAGTAAAAACAAACAAGACACATTACATGGAAGTATTGGAGCACCAGAATAAAGAGAAAAGCCTAAGGGCTTAATGATAATAATAACAATACTGCACAAAGAAGTGGAACTCACTGACAACACATTTATCATTTGTGAGGGGAAATTACCTCCTACCTAGAATTCTAAATCAAGGAAAGCTATCCAGCAAACATGAAGACAGAATAAAGACCTTTCCAGATGTGTAAAAGCTCATTTATAAGTCTGTTGGTGAACACGATCCACTGTTATGAGGGAATACACCAAAAAGAAGACATGGGTTCCTGGGAACAGTGGATCTGGTGGTAATGAAAGGGAAAGGAACTTTTCAGAACCCGACTCAATGGCACTTAACAACAACAACAACAATGAAGGATAATCCCAGTGCTAGACTGACAGGAGAACCTGAGCCCAACCAGCCCGAACTGGAAGAGATGGATAGAATAGCTCTTGGGGGGCGGTGGTATTTAGTTTGAGACTACCTTTGTAGTTGATTATAGTGTATTAATTAAAATGTTCTGGCAAGAAAATTGATAATTACTGATAAGTGTAGTATATTGAATTGTTCAATATGTCTCTTCTAGCCTTGGTCTTTGTAACGCCCACCAAATGACTCTCTTCCTGCTGGGTCTGGGTAAGAGAAGGTGGGAGAAGATACTGATAGGATGACATGATCCAGCTGTAGATGTTAACAGTTGTTGTTATTAAGTGCCGTTGAGTCGATTGTGACCCATAGCAACCCTTTATAGAGGTTCCAAGGAGCGGCTGGTGAGCTTGAACCACCAACCTTGTGGTTCAAATGACTATGCAGTCTGACGCATTAGCCCACAGAGCCACACCAGGACTCCTTAGATGTTAACAGAGATAACTGTAATTACAAAACTTTGAAACTCTTGCATGGTTATAAAATGAGTCATCTCAGAAGCAGAAGTAGGGGGATCTTCTTACCAGCAAAGACTAGGAGTCAAGAGTGTTCTTTGGACCCAGAGATCCCTGTGCACAGAGCTTACTTAATGCAAAGCCAGAAAGTTCTGAAATCAAAGGAGTGGCAGAGGAGCAGCAACAGAACCAAAAGCCAGAGTATGAGACAGAGCAGTGGACTTTCCAGCCCACAGAACAAGTAAAACAGAGTGACTCTGGACAGGAGACTTGCTTACAAAATGGGGTACCTCCAGAAAGTTAATTGAGGGAGCGGGGTTTGCTGACTCATGAAGTTAGACTTAAGCCAAGGCTGAGACTTACACAGTAGTGGTGTATCCTGTGGGCATTTATCAACGGTCCTAAAAGAGCTCTGTAACAATGACTCAGCAGAGAGGCCTACCTCTGGACACACCAGAGGGGAGGCTGTCCTGATGGAAGAACTGTGCCCTGACCCTGAATTATAACCTGTTAACTAATAAATCTCACACT